TACGTAAGCAGTTTTGTCTTGGTGTTTCCGGTTTGAACATTATAGGTCACGGAAACCAAGACAATAATTTTGAATCACTTTGTATTTAAGTACGTGTAAATTTGCGAAGGGAGATGAACAAGCTCAGGAAGGATGAAACGTACGGTGTTTATTCCAAACAAGTTATAACTTCCATCTTCGGGGTCGAAGAAAAGTTTGATCTCAACTGGTTATGTTAGTTTTTCACTTAATTTACCCTTCGGGCCTGAAAAGGAGGCAGAATATTCAACTAAAACAAAAGTCTCTACGGGAAGAAATAAATACAAGAATTTTTGGGAAGAACAAATCCCCTACTATCCTGATACGATGCGGACCGCATAGGAAACTACATGTCCAACAATTACTTTATAGTTGCGTTTGTATTCGTTGCCTAGCAACGTTAACGTGATACGTATATGAACAGACTGATGGGAAGGATTTATGAAGTACACCGTTGAGATGGACTCAGGTGGCATTATATACACACCAGATTTCATAGAGACTGGTTAAGGAATTCAAAAGTTGATTGGGGGGGGGCAGTGATTTACGGACACGACAACATATTGATCTCATAAGTCTAATTTTATTTATTTATTTATTTTTTTCAAAATAAGAGTAGTGTGCTAAAAATGGACACATGGTACAGTGTTCTTGTATGGCACCTCTTCCCAGGTTTCGTAATCTTGTTTTGTAGACAGTTTCCAGGATTTCTTGAATTGGGGACTGGCGCATCGCAAGGATAGGACATTACAGTGCAGCACAGAAAAGATGGGGACATCATATATATTCATGACCCCAGCAAAATTTGAAACTAATATCCCTAGAAAACAGTACACACCTTACACTTTGCAGTGAGAATACCTGTTTAAAGGACTGGTAATTAACAGTAACAAAGGTAAAGGTAAATTTATCCCTGGGCTTAATTAAGAACCACGCCACGAAGACGTATGGGGAAGTTGAGGCATAGGTCCACCATCAACAATGTTATATTTTAGCGTCCTGTTACACTGATTCATGTCCATGGTTTATGCTGACCGTCTTACAGTGTATACACTTTTTCACCTTATTCTTCACTTCCACACTACATGTTTGAGCACTAATGTGCCATCTTCAGGTGTCTTTATGCACGTTAAACTATTGTACTGCATGCCATAATGTCTTCATTCTAAAATGACTAAAATCTGTATTCGTCATATAGGACGATGAATTCTAAATAATAAAACTTTTCATGATTCTTCCTACGTCGCACTCAAACACGCGAATTACGCCAGTCCTCTTTTATGTGAGCATTCTTCCTACATATATTTGTGTATCGTGTTCTGTGTTGTGTTTTGCTCCTGTTACTGCATGGGATTGAAGAAAATATAGGCAAGGGACACGCGGTAATGTAGTTGTTTGAGGCGTGATGCTACAAAGAACAAAGTCGCGGATTCGATTCCCGACGAGGTCATTGGATTTTTTTTTTCAGTTGACCTAATCCTTCCAGCCGCACTACGGTCCTGGGGTCTACTCAGCCTCTAACAGAAATGAGTACCAGGAATCTTCCTGGGGGAGGGGGTTAAAAGGGGCTGACATCACCACCAGCTGTGAGCTGATTGTTTGGAAAACGTGGGAGCCTCGACGTTTCACAACCTTATTGGTCTCCATGGCCTGTTACAGGGATAACTTTACTTTTACCTTTATAAGCATTGGGCACGAATTCCCCCTTCCAAGTTAGAATTATTGAAGTTCACATATTTTTATATATTGGTTCATTAAGATCTCCTTTATTAGTTCTAAGACTTGATGCCTGTTGTGTTGGTCATTTAACGACGCTGTCAGTAGCTAGACCGTGCAACATCGAATGGCAGATGAATTGGAGATTATTTGAAAGGAAGTGGTTGTAGCCTAATCGATATTGCCCCTGCGATTGCCTGGAGGGGCAAATGAAAGTAACACATGACTAGAGTCAGTATAGCCGAAGTCTCGACCGAGACTGGAACCGAGCACCTCCCGAATACGTTACTGCTGCACGAGCCTGCTCGGCTGCTTCATGTTGCAGCATGAGGCTGTACAGGGAGCCCCAAGGGGTAAGGAGCACTGATGGCATTAGGAGAAGGAGAATAGGAGTGACAGAAATAAAACGAAAAAAAAATTGCCGAAACCGGAAACTTTATAATACGGTAGCTAGAAATAAAATAAATTGGGGCTTTGTTCCGCCGGACATGTCCACGAGACGTTTCGCCTTGTTGCTGTTGAATTGTTTATGAAGCTGAACATCAGTTTACGTTTAATGTTCTTTAACTGTTCAAAGAACGAAGTTCATATAAATAATATTTGTGAAGTTGTTCCCGAAGTCCACGTAAGCACGTCATAGTCAAGTTAAAATATCGGATGTATCTATGTTTATTCTTATAATTGAACAAAATTCATAAATCAGTTGAATCGACGAGAGGAAATTGGCACCAATTAACTGAAAGCAGATATTTTCAGGAAAAAAAGAAGACTTTTCTTCTGCTATGTTCGTTTTTTGGAAAAGTTACTCCTTTCAGAAACTTGAGCACATATAAGGCAAACGTGTAAAAAGACTTTTTTTTTTAATATTTTAAGGAGTATTACAGAATCAAAATGGATAAATTGTTTACGTTGTTCCCCTCAACTGAAAACGTTTGGGTTGTATGAGTAAATTATGAACATAATTTTATAAAAACAAAGCAAAAATGTTGTTTATTGTGTGTTTATATATAAATATGCAAACAGTAATAAAGAAAGAAAAATATGAGTTAAACCCGTTATTTTACAGAGCAGATCAGTTTAAAAATATTCCAACTATTAAGAAACACTAATAAAAATAATGAAATATGAAAGAATACAAGGATCAACCAAAGAGCAGAATAAACACACAATTGATCTTTGAAGAATTAAGAAAAAAAATCATCGCCTTCCGATTATCCTCCATGTATTTTCCACGGGATAATCTCATGGTAAAATATATGATAATCTGACGGAATGCGTTCCAGTAGTGTCTGGATGGTTCCCTATTTGGGGGGGGGGCATCTGTCCGTCATAGGCCTTTGCCGATAGTAGATTGTCTCATCGCTTACTTTTCACTAATTTGAAACTGTCGTTGAGACTTCAGAAACGGTAACATATCCTCATTCAGTTCCTACGTGAGATGTCTATTGAAGCAAATTTTACCCTCTTCTTCTGTGAGCTTTTCAAACTGCAGATGTGACCTAATCTAAGAAACGTTCGATTCCTTTTAAACCCAACAAGCAGAACTCTATTTTAATAACAAAATTGCTTATATTTCCAATTGTAGCAGGAAAATTTAATTTTTACCCTTCTTTTCTTACTGATTCAAGTGTGCGATTATAACGCCTGACCATTGAATGTTACGAAAAGCCCGGTACGTAGGCATGCAGTTACCACTGTACTATTAAAATTTGATAAATAGGCTAATTGGACTTTGGGAAAACTTTATGACATTAAAATTGCCCAGAAATAGGAAGGGAACAGTTTATAAGATTTCATATCTCAGTTTTGAGAATAACAATTATCTCACGCCTTAAGATGCTTGGTGTCTTCAGCACCTGTAACAATTTGATCGTAGATTAGAATCGAAATCGCGTCATGTATGTATGTCCTATATCTGTATTGACCTGTGCGGGACACGCGGTAACGTACTTGGTTGACACACTATGCTACAAGTCGGAAGGTCGCTTGTTCGATTCGCGATAAGTTCATTGCCTTTTTCAGTTGACCCAATCCTTCTAGCCGCACCATGGCCCTGGGTTCGACTCTATCTGTAAAATATTTTAGTACCAAAAGCTTTTCTTGGTGTAAAGGGCGGCCGGAGCTTAAGGCTAACTACTTCACCGCTATCTGTGAGCCGATTGTGAAGAAAATTTGGGAGACTCGACATTTCACAATCCTGTGGGCATCCGCGTTCTCTTGCAGGGATAGATTTACCTTTTCAATTGACCTGTATAGGTAGAAGTCTTGTCGGGCATATCTTCCGGCCTGGGAGCCCTGCCAAGTATCTCGAGAGATTCGTATTTTCGAAAATTAATTCCTATTTGGAATAGGCCAGAGTGCATAATCTGTAAAATCCGAAGAAAGTAAGAAAAATGAATCGTGCATTTCACGGATATCATGGCGATAATTACTAAGGCTAGTTCCTAGATGTGACGCCGTGAAATGTGGTACATAGTTACCAATATTTCAGAGGAAAATCTCTCCCTCTTCGTAATGTAAGAGAATGTCACCCACCCTGAGCATGTAGGCAACATGTGCCTCAGATCTGCCATCTACCAGACTACAAGGCAACACATCCTGGATGACAGATCTTTGAAACAATTTGTTTAAATATGAAACATTTTTCATGTCGTACATTGGGAGTTCGGTACCGTGCGATCGCATTTTATGCGAGGACGTCTATCTGAAAATCTCACATAATTCAAGAGAAGTTCTGAAACGTACGTGATTTTTGCCGAATCTTTAATTCTCATTATTTCGGACTTTACTCATAAATTGACACTTAATAATAATTCTTATTTCAAATCCGCATAAAATGCGACCGCACGCTGTTACAGTCATATATTATGTGCTTGAATCGAAAACTGAGACACGATTAACGTGAAGAGTGTTATCTCTGAGATATAACGCCGTTTAATCCGTTGAAAGCTGATAGACTTTTCGGAGGAACATGTAGCTTCCGTCATCATTTTCGAAGAATAAACCAAAGAAGAAACCAGCGTAAATCAGCCAAAATCCTACGGGATTTTCCTAACGAAACATATGCAGTAGTAACCAGATCGAAACGAATTTCGTTTACTTCTATTTACGATTGTTTTCGTTCTGTTGCCCCTGATGGGGTTACTACGCGCAAGTCTTGATGTACTGCGGGACCCGCGCATGTTCTGTGACGTCTACCACGGGGACGGTGACATTTCTGCTCTTAAGTTTGTGGTACGCCTGCGTAGGTGAGTGTACATCGGGCTCTATAAGCGGGAGGACTGAGTTGTGCCGTATCACAGTCGAGCGAACGTTTGCATCAGGTTCGGAACTGCCAACAGAAGCAGCAAGTGTTGACGTCGTCAGCCTCCACTCAACGTTGTTACCGACATGAATTGCCACTGTCTTGAAAGTAGAGTGTAGTGTGTTCACAGCCTCACGTTCCACAAATAACGCGCCGAGACTAGCTGTTACTTCACATTTCGCTATCAGAACATCTCATTCCATGGATTTTCCTCCCACAAATATAATAGTGTGAAGTATTAATTGTCATTCAAGTGTTTATGCGCGTGACGTAAGGCACCTCATTCATGTTTCAGAATATTAACTACATATACGTAAGAAATGTATATCTGTATGCTGAGTCCATAACGTCGTTGTAACTATAGTTGTGGTCCGAAAATCCAGTCAGTCATTTTCTAACATTAACATACAATATGCGTTTCGAAGGTAGTTTTAAGATGGTACAAAAATATGATAATTTATTACAGTTTATAATATAGATATTTATTTATTTCAGTAATTGTCGTTTCTGTGAACACTCTTTCAAATTAGTATTTGGTTATACAGGGTATTGTCAACCGCCAGCGAAACTTAAATAAATTATAGGTTTCTCACAATAGTGAGAATTACGTGGGCCAATCAGAATTTAAGAAAGGTAATTACTATAGAAGTTAAAATTATAACGTATTACGATATTCATATTTTAGAAAATGGTATTATTCTCATGTATGAGTTGGAAAACGCATGTTAAATTTTCATTACTTTTAACCTCAAAGTAATTCGTAAATGAATTCGTGTGAGATATTCTAGTTGAAAATAGTCGCATGTAAAGTTGGGAGTAACGTATTTTGAAAACAGAAGTGTGACGGCGCTTGTAAAACGGTCCCGGAAATAGTGTGCCTACCCGTAATTAGTTGTGCCTGTAAGTTGCGTGTGTGTTGATGAGGATTCAGCGGCTCCCCTTTGTGTTACCGCTATGAGGCTCGCCGGAGAGTCAGTATCTTCACCTGGTAGCTCCCGCTATAGTCGATCACCACGTGGACTCACCAAGGCTCCCCTCGCCCGGTCGACTAGGCCCCGTGACGGTAAGATAGGTCACAGTAATAGCGGCAGGGTGTACGGCGTCGTGGGAGTCGTGGCGCTCAGCTGCTACCTGAACGGTCTGACGGGAGAATTCGTCCACGATGACATCCCCGCAGTCACGCAGAACAAGGATGTGTTGGGACTCAGCCCCCTGAGCCATGTGTTTCGTAATGACTTCTGGGGCACAGCCATGAGTGACGTGAACAGCCACAAGTCTTACCGGCCACTCACCACGCTCACCTTCAGGTAGGAACTTGTCATAATTAAGACAACCTCACAGCCATGAGTGATATGAATAGCCACAAGTCTTAACGGCCACTCACCACACTCACCTTCAGGTAGGAACTTGTCATTTCACAGCCATGAGTGACGTGAACAGCGACAAGTCTTACCGGGCACTCACCACGCCTACCTTCAGCTAAGAACTTGTTATGATTTCTTAACGGCCACTCACCACGCTCACCTTCAGTCAGGAACTTGTCATGATTAGGACAACTTCATAGTGATGTGTAACATGAAGATATAGAAGTCTTACCGGCCACTCACCACGCTCACCTTCAGGTAGGAACTTGTCATTTCACAGCCATGAGTGACGTCAATAGCCTCAAGTCTTACCGGCCTCTCACCACACTCACCTTCAGGTAGTTACTTGTTATGATTAGGAAAGTTTCACAGCCATGAATAGCCACAAGTCTTACCGACCACTCACCGCGCTCACCTTAAGGTAGGAGCTTTTCTTAATTAGGTCAACTTCATTATTCGCCCATCCCATCCTCGTTCGTTGGATTACGCAAAATATACGAACTGTGAAGCTCCTAATCATGCAGTCTTCTCCAGTTCTTGTTTGCTTTCTCCTAGTTCCGAAAATTCCCCTCAGCTTCCTGGTCTCAAAAATATCTGTCAGTGTTAAAATAAGTTTATCTTTCATACACAGCAACGGGTAGAATTATATCGTATAATTTGTACATTTTAATTTTGTGACTGGATATGAATAGACAAACTGTTTGGTAACAAACATTTCCCGTCTGTAACTTGCTCTTAATATCTTTGATGAACTGGAATTTTGATTCGTTATTGTACTTTCGAAACATCTGACCCATTCCACATGTTCGAAAGGGTCATTAGCTGCATTTGTACTATTAGGATTCTGTCGTGCAGTCTGGTGACGAGACAGTTGGTATTCTCTGCGTTTATTTCTTTTCAAATATATCTACTTCCGAAACACAGTATCGTGGGTGTAATGTATGAACTTCCTCACGGAGTTGGCTGTGTTGTAGGATATGACATGTAGACTAGTAGATATTTAGAGATAGTTTTGGAGGAACTTTTTACGTCCATCTTCCTGGTAGAAGATAAGCCGCGCGGGTAAATCGGTCAGGATATGCTGAATTGAAGGGTTGAGGGAGGGAGTGGAAGGACAAGGACATATAAGGGACCAACTTACCTACTTACCTACTTACTCATGGAGCTCAGCCCTTCCGGAGGAGCTGCCAATTCTCCAGCTACTCAAGAATTTCCCAGGATTTTATGGAACCCGAAGGTTCATTACCGTGTTCACAAGAGCCCTCCACAGGTCCCTATCCTGAGCCAGATCAATCCAATCAACACCATCCAATCCTATCTCTCTAAGATCCATTTTAATATTGTCCACCCACCTACGCCTTGGTCTTCCCTGTGGTCTCCTTCCTTCTGGCTTTCGCACCAATATCCTATACGCATTCCTCATCTCCCCCAATCGTGCTACTTTCCCTGCCCACCTAATCCTAAAAGGAACCAATAGGAGCAATACAATTTGAGTGTCCTATTCCTACCTGTAAGGGCGTTACTTTTGAGAGTCACAGGATTCCAACAATTTTCCTTCACTTCCACTGGTTTGCACTCAGCACGAGTCATTTTCATACCTTACATGATCGTTTCTCACGAGCTGGATAGTCTTCAGTCCTGAAGATGGAAGTCGTACTTTCCTCCAAAACGATATATATCTGCCAGATTACTCGACGCCAGGTGGCGTAGCGGTAATTATCCAGATTCTTATATGGGAAATACTTGGTTCGAATACCAGCGGGGACACCGTGTCTTACGAAATAATTTTCCCATGGTTTGCTTCAGTCACTCCGCACAAATGCCGGGATAGTACTTCGATTAGGCCACGACTGTTTTATGGCAAATCCCTCCAACTTCAGCATGCATCACCCTATCATTCAATCCTATATGATCTCTCTACCGCCAGCGTAGTAAAAGTAAGCCATAAAGAAAGTTCACGACTTCACATCCAGAAGGCAGTAATGTTCATACCCACAGCCGCGAAAATCTCAAATCTCAGGAACTTTCTGATGTTTTATCTTTACATCTTTTGTAAGTAGGCACTTGACTTCTATAATTACGCAAGTCTATGAGTGACATCGAACAATTTCGGGATCCTTTTCATCTCACCGTATCGCCCCCAACGTGGATCGTTGTCACGGTGACTGAAGACTTGAAAAATTACACGCCTCGACGCCTACAGACATCGGTAATTTTGACGTAGACTTGTTCGGCGTGGATGTCATATCCTTCTACATAATTATCTCCACTCACAATTGTAACACTGAGGTTAATATGAAGTCTAGCTAATTTAACTTCGCTATTTTGATAAAATTGTCGCTAAGGTTGGGAACTTTATAAGGTATACCCGTATTATCCGAGTGTTCTTAATCTCAGAACTAGACGACAGCGGGTGGCGAGGAAGGCTCTCAGTATTGAGACTGTATAGCATCAAATGGTAGTACTGTCACTTGTATGAGTGACTATAGTCGATTTGTTTACCACTTATACACTCACGACTCGTGACTACACTTTACAGATCACTGCAACACACAGACAAGTGTCGTCAGTCGTACAGTCTTCACTGTCCGTTTCCTGGCAACGGATTTTAACAGAAGCACTCTAACAGTCTCACTGAGTTACACACTCGAAATGTGTATTCCCTTTACACCGGGCTTTCAACTGAGCATTCTTGCAAATAACTAGTTACCCCAAACCTTCCCGCTTATAACATCTCGCCAAGGACTGCACAGAAAACACAATTCTTCTGTTGTTGTGTCTGGATTCGTTACCCGCAAATATGTGTTTAATGCCCGGACCACAAAAGACACCGTTCCTCTGTTGTTGTGTCTGGATTCGTTGCCGCAAATATGTGTTTAATGCGCGTACAAAAGTAAACACCGTTCCTCTGTTGGTGTACCACTGTTGCGTTCGTGTTTGTTGCTGTGTGAACGTGTTTACCAAGCAGTTGCCTAGAAACAGCCCTGGTATATTTGCTTATTTCGCGGTCGTTGCAAAGTAAAGGCTGTACACGCTATACAGTATGGTAAAGAATTTGGAGCACTCATATTTTGTTGCATCCTGTTATGTAAATCAGTAAATAATATATATTTTATTCCTGTGAACACAACACTATTTACAGAAGATGAGGTTTCTGTCTAAGGTGACATGTTTCGTCACGTGTGTCATCTTCAGATCCTGATTTCAGTTACAATTAATGTATCATACACGTGGCATAAATTTTGTATGAGCCGAGTTAATCCAACTGGGTGTTATACAACTATACTATATTATATAATAGGCTTGCTTTTTATTTACATTGGTTTCAAATAACAGGCTAGCATGTTATATAATATATGAGTTGACCTAGTCATGGAAGGTAACATGGGTAAGGGAAGGAAATACTGAGTAAAAACCGTGTCCTACAAGATGCGGAGTTTTGCAACAGGCTGGTAACCTGCTGAAGTAATAACTTGTTGCTCATAATCCTTAAAGGTGCTTCATGTTTGAGAACGGAACGGACTAACGACATCCACCTTTGCAGACGGTGCTATAATGCATATTATGTATGTAGTACATATAATATTATATGTATATACTATGAGATAACGTCAGTAAATAGGTCACAAATGGATGTAAAACGTAAAACATTTGATATTCGAAACTGAAAAAAGAATTTATATCTCGACATATCCTCCACCAACACTGATACACTTGTCCCATTGCTTTACCAGTGCGTCGAAACCCGCAGCACAGAAGTCTTTTGACTGCTGTCTCAGCTACTTCCGCACCTCCGTTTTGACCTCTTCATCGACGAAACGTTTGTAAACCAGTTGTGAACCGCTTACGCGACAAACACTTCCACCGTAAACCGGAAACACTTCTTTATTAATATTATTCGGGTTCATTTCTTTTGCCCACAAAGAAACGCAACAGAACCAGGCCCTTCGGTAGTATTATCTTCAGGCACGTTTGACTACTGAAACCAGCCTCTGAACATGTCCATCTACTACCTAGACTGCCACGAAGCTCGTGTGTTGCTACCTAGTGATATACATAGAAAACCTATTACGTCCATTACAGCTGTTTTACTTCAATTTGTGACATATTTACTACTATGACTCGTATATAACACCAGTGGATCAACTCTTATTACATGTAAATATATTCTTAACTAAAAATGACCTTACGACGGCACACATGTGCCTAAACATGTCGTCTTAGCAACTGGAAATAGTGTTGTGTTGACAGGAGTGAAATAAGTTCTATGCAGAATATGGAGCAAGTGGCAGAATAAGAAACCTACCCAATTCCACTTTGTCCTCGTCAAATCTCAGATGGCTTGATCTGGGATCTGATCCGGGCTGCCACTTTGGGAAGCCGGCACTAACCAATCGAGTACGGTCTGTAGATGGAGGTGAATGGTCAGCTTCACCTCCCGACTGCTTTACCCCCGCTATCTGTTAGTTAAATATCTGCAGTCGTCCCAAAGAGGCGGTGGTGAAGGTAAAATTTTCCTGCCTCAGCTGAATATGAAACCCTTGTCTTTCGTGTAGTAGGTATTGTAGTACTGACGGTCTGCCTCGGTTGATATCTCTGTGATGATAACGGAAGGGCACACTGCTACACCGTGATTATCAATTTTGTGCGGTAGGTAATTGTAGTACTGACTGTCTGCCTCGGTTGATATCTCTGTGATGATAACGGAAGGGCACACTGCTACACCGTGATTATCAATTTTGTGCGGTAGGTAATTGTAGTACTGACTGTCTGCCTCGGTTGATATCTCTGTGATGATAACGGAAGGGCACACTGCTACACCGTGATTATCAATTTTGTGCGGTAGGTAATTGTAGTACTGACTGTCTGCCTCGGTTGATATCTCTGTGATGATAACGGAAGGGCACACTGCTACACCGTGATTATCAATTTTGTGCGGTAGG